TATAATTTAGGGACATTCGTGGTGCTGTATCAATATCTGTGTTGTAAATAATCTGATAATCCTTGTGGTGTTAGTGCAATATGACAGTGATCTCTGATTGGGGAACTTGTGCTGAATCTGGAGACAATAACAACTCACAACTCTCGCGAGTCAAAGGCTTCAAACATCCTTCAGCACACCCGGACATTGCCATATATTTTGAAAGAAAAAATATATAGTACAAACAATGGAAAAGTGCTATGTTTTGCAATACACAACTTGGAATTCATGTAGATAAATATTTTTGTTTCGTTTATTTTGATTTTTTTTCAATTTATATCATATCAGGTACATATTTTGTATATAAATATACCTCACATATATCATTACCATGTTTTTCATATCTAATGTGTCAATTCGAAAAATAACACTTTTGAAGCATAAATATATTTAATGTAACGCATCAATTGTAACTTTTAAAGTTGTTTCAGAATAAACAATAATAGAAAGAAATATTCATTTCGTTTCTTTTTAATATATAAGTTAGAGGTATATATTTTAAATGTTAACATTCATTTATGCAACAGATTTATTTCTGAGATATCGTAATCTGGCAATTTTATGAGTTTATTTAGCATATCTTCACCTTGCCGATTACTGCATGAGAATATAAATCTAAATATTGGCACCTTTACGACGTGAAATGTTTTCATAAACTAAGTTTTGATTATTGTCGCCTTAGTCAACTATTGTCGTCGTTTGCAATATGGCGGCTCAACTTAAACATAGGAAGATATTAAAGTTATTTTTATTAAGCATCAAATTTTAACAGTTAGTGAATTATGTTGTAAAATTCTAGACGTTATTTGATATTTTGATAATGCTACTATTTCAATGGACTGTTTGATAATGTCTAGGATTCAGGTTTGTTCTCTGTCAATGATGATTGCCTTAAACATATAGTATAGCCCATTCCAGGGGATGTAATCCTCATATGGTGTTATATGGTATCGGCAAAACTGTCTGTATTGGTACATGTATATTACTGCTATATCGTAGGTCATAATGGCGATCGTATACTTTATATAAACGTAATATATTTTACGACCAATAAAATAGGGGTTAACTAGTAACACAAAACTTTGTAAACTAGAAATAACAAAGAAGGTTGGTACATAACTACTGAGGGAAAATAGTCTCTGCTTAAATTCCTTGTGATCAAGTAGAAAACGTTCTCTACATACATGACTCTTACTGATAGGGTCTCTTTTGTTACAAATGCTTCATACGAAAACAAAACGTAATGCATAGTTGTTTCTTATTGAAATGTAACACGAAATCAAAGAGGAGATAAGGTCGAGTTAACAGTTGGAAGTATTGACACCATCTCCTTATGTGTATTTTCAAATACACACAGTTGTAGGAACTATAACATACTTACCGTTACGTAAAATAAGGGCAACAGACGTCTTCCTCTCTCCCTGTTAGGTAAAGGTTAATTATATAACTAGTAGACATCAATATCCCATCTAGATGGTGCAAAACCTCAGGTCAATAGTGTAGACCTTCGAAACGTACATCATATACTGTTTTTATTTGTTTCATTTTACAACCAAACACAAAACATAAAGTCATATTGTTTTAGAAATCGGGTCGCTGTGAATCGGTTGTGTACATGCACATACATTGCACCAGCACATCGTAATGAAAAACTCTGTGAAACGGTTACAAAATGTAAGTCTAAAGCGATGTTTTATATCCCATGAATTTAGAATTGACTGCAATCTGGTTACCTATGAGACCTGTGTCGGCTGGACATAAAATGCAATTGATTTGTTGGTCGTATTGTACACGTGAGCTGGTGTGATTCGTTTTACAATTTGTTGTAATATCAATATTCTGTGTTAACAGAACATTTTGTTCTCAGAAAATAATTATCTGACAAAGTTTTACCAGATACTCTACACTTGTTTAGGGTAACTCATTAGCGTTACGTGACATACTGCATGCCAGGTAAAACATGATATCTTTGCATAGAATGACCTCACACATTTGCAAAGACGTCACACTTCAAACAAACAGACCAAAACAAAAAGTAGTAGTGACAATATCCTATTTCATTTTAAGTATAAAGTAGATAATGTTTTTATATCATAAACCATATTAGTAGTGTTAGACAAATATATAATTCCTTGAGTAAGAAAGTATCCATACCGAGCTTTGGCAAAGGAAGAACACTTCTTTCTAGGTGACGAAATTTGTGTTCTGAATGAGCACTGTCTATTTTCAGCCGATTGGTTTAACTGAATCGAATAACATAAACCTAAACTTGTTGTCACTGTGATATACATTTCTTCCTTACCTTTCCTATCGTAAGGTGACATCCCTATATATCTTATTACACACGATCGAAGTAACAAATGCCCCATAAAGTCTGTAAAAGCATCATTTCTATTAAATGTTCTGTTGTCTGTTTCATTTCATATGATAATTTTAATTCAACTTAGATTGTTAAAAGGCAAGAAGAAAAATACGCCTCTTTAACGTCAGATGTGTAAGAGGAACACTTATTTAAACTAACTCGGTTAATCTGGTAAAGATGAAAGAATATAAGTAAATACTTTCAAATTTTCGAATCAAGTCAAATGAGCATGCATGATAAGCAGAGTGAATAGATGAGTTAGATCACTGAAATTCATTCTTTGTTTAATAATAAAGTGTACTTATGTGGGATACTATATGAAAGCCCTTCAGAAAGATTTCTAAATATTCAGCCATATAAGGGTTTAGTTAATTATTTTATGGAAGTGAACCCCAGGTAGTACAGTTTGCTAACATGTAGGTGTGGCCAGATATTGCTTACTCAAATTGTCACTCTTAAGGATTATATTCATCCAACCAATGAAAAAAAGTGTTGAAAATCACACGTCAGAAACATACTAACGTAATATAGTAATTGCATAAAGATCTGTAATATTTTGTGATAAACACGGGTCAATCTGTTGTCAACTCACACTTTGGTAAACACCGAAAAGGAAATAAACACATTTAAACCTAAACAGAAATATTATTTTAGTAATACGATATACCAACATGGGAATACAATATGTACTGTGTATGGTAAACAGGAGAGAAATACCTTGGGTAAATACTCAAAGACGCACCTTTTAACCTCGACATGGGTGTGATACGTATCGCTCCGGGGTCGGGCATAGGTGTGACGCTTTTAATAGAAATGTTTTGTGTAACGTGAAATGTTTATCTATAATTCGCAGCGTCAGTTCAATCAAGTAAACAGACCAGTAGACAGAAGCCTGACTGTTTCATGTCGGCTGCATGAATGCTTAAAACTAACCTTACATCGATAAGGTTGCTTGCTAGAGTAAAATACACTTACATATTTGTTTTTATGAACTTAAACAATTATTATTGTATGACAAAAGGTAACGTTTACTTATATTATTGATGAAGTATTTACCCCCAATCAACATAATCAACACAGATAGAAAGAAATAGAAAAATATGAACGAAAAATAACGAGTTCATGTATTTCAGTGGATGCAGTAGATCAGATAATGGTTTATTGACCTCTAAGTAAGTAAAAACACAAACAATAGTTGTAGGGGACTTACGTTGCAATGCAAATATGACATTTCAGTATAACAAAATAACACGCTTATTTTATTACTTTTAAGTTTGAACCAAACTTGTAATAGATGCCATCAGTCGTTAAACATAGATTGGAAGTATTACACAATACGTTGACGATGATAGAATGAGATGATCAGTGTATCACAGTGTTTAAATGATTAAGCAGATACTTGTGTAATCACAACGGTGACCATTCAAAAATCACAATAACTGTTTGAAAGGTTGAACGTACATGGGGTGCCAATAACAGCATTCACTCCGAGTTTCATTAACATTGCAATAGGAACTCACCCCGAGCTAGTAGCGATTTTTAGGAAAGGTTGGCGGACGGACGACGGGCGTATGGCATAAGCTCACCCATGGTCCTTCGGACCAGATGAGCTAAAAACATGTAGCCCCCANCTATGATACTACGAGTTGTCCATCTCGAGTTAAAAGTCGAATACACTCATTAATATTTTCCAAGTTCTGAAAGCAACGGATCTCATTTCATCAATTCAACGATTTTTTACGCCATCAGCATTTTTTACAGATACAAAAATAATGACTTCGACATGTTGTTATTTGATATGGCACGGTATACAACACAAATAATGAAATCCCATCTTGACCCAAATAATCAAATACCGGTCTGTGTAAATATTTAATATGGAATTAAACATACTGACGGACTGTTGTCACAGTCAATATTTATTAAATATTTAACTTAAGAAGTCAACGTTATCGACAAAATCAGACTACGTTATAGACATCATAGTGACCCCTCAGGCGTCAATGATATATGGTGCTTTACTGTTTCACCTACTACTGTGTACTTGTACCAGGAATACGTACATTACACGTATTGATACAGTAACAGACACATCTACAAGTCGTCAGAAAGCCATTAGCACATCCTTAATGTCCATATCAACTGTACCGCAAATTCGTTAACTTACAATGTACTTTCATAAAATGAGTTTATAATAAATAACAATGTAACTTTACCACAATGACCTAATTCAATAATACTTAGGTCTATTATATGTTCGGGGCGGTGGCCGATTGGGAAAGATATACGACATCCTATACCAGTCCACCACACAATGGGTCAGTGTTTGATAAGTGAGTGAAGTAGGTCAGATGGACGATGTGATGTGATACGAGATAAAGTGATCTTTAAAGTTTTTTTTCTATATTGAACATTTGCCAATGATTTGTCCTTGACACAGATTCTGATGGACTAGGAAACTGTTCTACATCATATTTAGTTGCTATAAGAGTGAGCAAACCATAGTCAGATGTTATTTACCGCATTAAAACTTATTGAATAGTTCAAAGGTAATATTATATATAAAGTGCTATATACGTTTTATATACATGTATTAATCATATACAATTTTACATTTTTATGATATAAACAAATTATATACACGTGGCATGGCATACTATATATGAAATGCGTTTATTACACGTACATGTATGTCTTTTAACAAGAAATTTCTTATCAGAAAGGTATATCATGATATGCCGACTGGTGACTAGATGATTTAATATACGAATCGTGAATTTCTACCTTTGGCATCGTATAGTGTGTAACTATCATTTCAATACAGTTACTTCCAAACTCATTTATACACGTGACAAAATATAAGGTCAATATCCATTACGGATATAATAGTTATTATCAACATATGAAGTTCAGAGGTTTGGCAAGACTTAAACTGCCGTTAGTCACCATCAATATCCTTGCACGCAAATGCCATAAAGTTATGTACCATTTGATCAACTATGTGAAAAGATGGGTGAACGTTGTCGTTTTCCATGGCCTCTGTAAGCTCCCATCCTTCCAGGTATGTTACCTTGTTTTGAAGGTTAATGAATTCTTCATAAAGTACCTGTTCCACAAACCGTCGGATGTATTCTAATGGCATGTATTCATTCTTGTAAGTGTGTGAGTGGGTACCCTTAATGAAAATTTGAACGTTTGGGGAACGTTCTAACAATCGGACAATGGCTGATTTGGCCTTCCGGACATGCTCCCGGAATGCATTGTGATCACATGACCTGGCAATGTGCAGGAACCAATGTATGACCACGATGTCGGTCCGGTTTGCGCCGATCCTGTCCAGTCTATATTGCACTGACTTGAGGTTAGATATCGCAGAGCCGGGGGTTCCAGCAAACGGATGCTCATGTGGCATCCACTCCATTTTAATGGCATATCTCTTTGACTTGGCCCTGATGTGTTTCTGCCATCCTCGAGAATCGTTTTTGGCAAAGGCTTGGTTTTCAAGGTCAATACCTAGTATTTTGACCAGGTGTTTGAACCACTGTCGTGTTGTCGAGTCGCCAACAAATATGGTAGAGCGTGCAGCGAGACAGTTGATGTATGCCTTGGTACGTCTGGCGATGTGGTTGGAACACTGTGTAGAATGCCAGAGTCCCATATGTCTATACCCTACAGGTACACTGGCAGTCCACGTGTAGTGTTTCTCTAGCAGGTGACATGGCAGGCGGGGGTATGGAATGGGAAATCGCTCTGCAAAATAAAATATTATACATGTAGACATGTATCATTTTAAGAAGAACACATCACATAAGCGTTTTGTGTAAATTATCATTTCATCACAAAAAGGCGACAATGGCATGTATGTACACTTTTTAACTGATGATCAATCAGTAATGTTAATTATTTCATTGTTATAAACAGACGTACGATTAAGCAAAATATCCGTGGGAAATTGGGTTCACTTACTTGCTTGAATTTCTATCGGTATTGCATCAATCAGTGCGTGAGAAAATGCCCTGCAACAAATATCGATAATGTTAGTATTGAAATGAGATTAAATTACTTTGTCAATAACATATATGTAAGTTTACGTACATATAGCTTAAAATCACTGCATGAAAATAGAGTCTATCAGTTGTAGGTATGTGTTGAATGGAAATTCTATCCAATGGAGTAGAACCATGGATCAGAACTAAAGCCAGCGTAGAATAACACCTAAGTGTGCATAATTGTACTCTACAAGGGTTATCTTCAACAACAAGGTCATAAGATAGAGTTTTCGAGTACATGTACCCTCAACAGGTGTATTTACACATTTGCAGGTATTAGCTACCCTCCTTATTTCACCCTAGATTTGAAACGAGGGATTCAGATACCCTCCTTATTTCGCCCTAGATTTGAAACGAGGGATTCATATACCCTCCTTATTTCACCCTAGATTTGAAACGAGGGGATTTAGATATCCTCCTTATTTTACCCTAGATTTGAAACGAGAGATTGAGATACCCTCCTTATTTCACCCTAGATTTGAAACGAGGGATTCAGATACCCTCCTTATTTCACCTTAGATTTGAAACGAGGGGATTTAGATATCCTCCTTATTTCACCCTAGATTTGAAACGAGAGATTGAGATACCCTCCTTATTTCACCCTAGATTTGAAACGAGGGGATTCAAATACCCTCATTATTTCACCCTAGATTTGAAACGAGGGATTCAGATACCCTCCTTATTTCACACTAGATTTGAAACGAGGGATTCAAATACCCTCCTTATTTCTCCCTAGATTTGAAACGAGGGATTCAAATACCCTCCTTATTTCTCCCTAGATTTGAAACGAGGGGATTTAGATACCCTCCTTATTTCTCCCTAGATTTGAAACGAGGGGATTCAGATAGCCTCCTTATTTCACCCTAGATTTGAAACGAGGGATTCAAATAACCTCCTTATTTCACCCTAGATTTGAAACGAGGGGATTCAAATACCCTCATTATTTCACCCTAGATTTGAAACGAGGGATTCAAATACCCTCCTTATTTCTCCCTAGATTTGAAACGAGGGGATTCAGATAGCCTCCTTATTTCACCCTAGATTTGAAACGAGGGGATTTAGATACCCTCCTTATTTCTCCCTAGATTTGAAACGAGGGGATTTAGATGCCCTCCTTATTTCACCCTAGATTTGAAACGAGGGGATTCAAATACCCTCATTATTTCACCCTAGATTTGAAACGAGGGATTCAAATAACCTCCTTATTTCACCCTAGATTTGAAACGAGGGATATTTAGATATCCTCCTTATTTCACCCTAGATTTGAAACGAGGGATTCGAATACCCTCCTTATTTCACCCTAGATTTGAAACGAGGGGATTTAGATACCCTCCTTATTTCCCCCTAGATTGGAAACGAGGGGATTTAGATACCCTCCTTATTTCACCCTAGATTGGAAACGAGGGGATTCAAAAACCCTCCTTATTTCACCCTAGATTGGAAACGAGGGGATTCAAAAACCCTCCTTATTTCACCCTAGATTGGAAACGAGGGGATTCAAAAACCCTCCTTATTTCACCCTAGATTGGAAACGAGGGGATTTAGATACCCTCCTTATTTCCCCCTAGATTGGAAACGAGGGGATTTAGATACCCTCCTTATTTCTCCCTAGATTTGAAACGAGGGGATTCAGATAGCCTCCTTATTTCACCCTAGATTTGAAACCAGGGATTCAGATACCCTCCTTATTTCACCTTAGATTTGAAACGAGGGGACTTAGATATCCTCCTTATTTCACCCTAGATTTGAAACGAGGGGATTTAGATACCCTCCTTATTTCACCCTAGATTGGAAACGAGGGGATTCAAAAACCCTCCTTATTTCACCCTAGATTGGAAACGAGGGGATTCAAAAACCCTCCTTATTTCACCCTAGATTGGAAACGAGGGGATTCAAAAACCCTCCTTATTTCACCCTAGATTGGAAACGAGGGGATTCAAAAACCCTCCTTATTTCACCCTAGATTGGAAACGAGGGGATTTAGATACCCTCCTTATTTCCCCCTAGATTGGAAACGAGGGGATTTAGATACCCTCCTTATTTCCCCCTAGATTGGAAACGAGGGGATTTAGATACCCTCCTTATTTCTCCCTAGATTTGAAACGAAGGGATTCAGATACCCTCCTTATTTCACCCTAGATTGGAAACGAGGGGATTCAAATACCCTCCTTATTTCACCCTAGATTTGAAACGAGGGGATTCTGCAAGTATAAAAATGTATATGCCGTCTCTTTAACAATTACATATTTGTATATGAAAAGTTCAAAAGGAACAGGGTATTAAAAAAAGAAGCATTGCATGGTTGAGTAAAAAGCAGATCTCAATCATCCCGGTATCTAGCACTACCGGGGTTTATAATCATATAAATTTCACATAGATGTTCGCTATGTATTTTGTGTATATTTAATACGTATGATAGAAGATTAATATATACTTGAATTTGTTAACTGAAACTCAGTTGCCTTGTCAAAAAAACAAACAAAGAGTGTCTCCGTATTATTCAATTGAACAAAATAAAGATGAATATATAATTTATTATTTATACGAAACAGCTGTATGGCGCAGTTTAATTCATTTTTGGCAAACTTAATCACTAAATTTTATTGGTGAAATCACGTGCGTGTTTTGTGTGTATCCATGTACTGTAATAACTTACTTCATGATGTGAATCTCTCGACGGTCAAGATACATGACGTCATCCCAGCCATATTGCTTCCAGTCCTCACAATCGAAGTATCTGGGCTGACCACAGAAGTATGAAATGTTGTAGTTTTTCTCCGTGAAGTTGCAGTACCCTCTGTATCTCTGCTCCACCTGCCAGTGTGTGGAGCTACATTGGGTCGACTCTTTGACATTCGGATGTACAGAGAAGAAGGTAGCGTTTGTGTACTTGAAGGCGCCATATTTGTTGAAATACTGGGCATACAATGCTACCTGCTCCTTTGTGTGACCGACAGACACTTTAACAGTTGCCCGACCTTTCCATGCCGCCCTGACAACTCCCGTGTAAGTACCATTCATGTGATCTATGACATATCCGGCCACACTTGAATGACTGTGGTCATCTTTCATCCATATACGGAGGAAATCGCCGCCAGTGACCATTCGTTCATCTAAGCCATTACGCAGTTCAATGCGAACGGTTATATTATCATCGATGCATATTCTAGAGTTGGTTATTTTGATATGAGAATTGGAAGCATTAGCTATTCCATGTACATCATTTGTGTTTACTTTTAAAGAGGAGTAGTCAGGGTATCTTGAGATGATGTTTCTTGCTACAGATGCTGCTGGTTGAACGATTGGTTCAAACCTAATGATCTTTTTCTTAACATTGGTGGCAGTTGATTGTTCTTTTACAGGGTCCCGGTGCTCCAGTGAATCCATGAAAGTGCTGGTCATATGCATGAACCTGCATTTGAAAAAAAAAAAATCGGGTACATGAACTAAAATGTATTTCTATCACTTTAATAGAAATCTAAAACATATCCCCATTTGACTCAAAATAATATCAATTACAATTTCTTTTAAAGGTACCGTGCCGCTTATCTTTGATATTTTGTTCTGTTCAAAAAAGATAAAATATGGCATTTCTTATTTTTCCTACATAAATAAAGTTTGAATTTCCGTGAATACCCACTCAGGAAGTAAAACGTTATGAAATGAAAGGTAAGTGAGTTTTAATTTCTTACGAGCCGTAAGATTTCGTTATTATATATAATGTTGTGCACTCGGGCCATGTTTATGCTAAAACGTTGTCGAAAAAGCATGGGAACAATATCTGCGAGGAAAGGAAAGAACTGGAAGCCGATCAACAGCTTAATAAAGCGATAGTCTACATCGATGAAGCCTTATATCAATGGAATGCATTTAAGGAGGAGAAGGGTTTAATCACAACAAAGAGTTGCAAGGCTTTTATTTGACAGGACAGGTAAGAACCGAGAAACACTCGGCATGTTTATTGGGTAAACATTATCTCTGACGTCAGGGGCTCGTCACAAATGTTTCAAATACTCACATGCTATACTGATATGGGGAATAGGTGTGCTGTTACAATGTTCCAATATCAGCATAGCATAATTGATTTTTTTAGACATTTATAACGAATCCCTGTGCTCCGACGCAGTCGAAGATGTAGTCAACATGGCCTCAACCAATACAGCTTCTGGTGAGATAAGAAGCCGTCGGGAAAATACTTTGCATGCTTATCTATGACAAAGATATAAGTCATTGAAATGTCATGTTCTTTTAAAAACGAAATGCTTATAATGTTAATGTAATTTTATGACTACAATTTTCACCCCAGTTTTCCGACGGATTGCGGCACGGTAACTTTAAAGATAAGGAATGCAATCTAAGTAACGAAGGTAGAGGGAAACAACTCCTACCAATCACCATGACTCACCAAATAGCACAGCAATCTGATTAAAATCATATCCTACGTTCTCTACGTAACGTCGTGATACGTAGAGAACGTGGGATATGATTTTAATCAGATGATAGCACAAAAGTAGCATTTAAACCTTGGAAATAGTCGCCCGATTTTATAAATGTAAATGGTTCTTTTAAATATGAATGCAAAATCTCTTTCGAAAAAACTAGTACCGTTAAATGTACGAGTGACTAAATAACACTTCCTCAATTTTAAGTTGATTTTCCTAAATACAGCCTTACTTTCGGTGATGATACATAATGGTCTGCCATCCAACTGTCTCCTTGATTCTGTAGACATTTCCGGGCATGCTCTCACTGACCCTGTATAATTATGACTGTCTTTAATAGGTTACGAACTTTAAAGAGACAACAACTCGGTACAGATACTTGCTATAGAACAATGTAGTTACTGTTGTTATTGACATCAACAAATGCTTGTAAATGGGGAAAAGGGAGGAAAATTAAGCATTTTTATGTTTGATATCAAAAGTAGAAAATAACAAAAAATGTTAATTGATATCTTTATCAGAGGTTTCGCAGAAAATTGACTTTAGAAGTATGTATTATATTCATTCTTCTTTTTATTAATTCAATAGGTTAATTTATTTGAGTATGACAATTGTTTGTGATATTTGAACAAAGAATGTGATACATTTTTATATTTTTCTCGATAAGTTTAAAAGGTTTTTACAATTTTCAAAAAATATAAAAATTTCAAGCAGACGACGGACGAAGAACATTAATCGCATTAGTTGATCAAAGCACAGATAGTTTGTTTCGATAAGGTGCGCAATGCTAAGTTTTCACATGTTTTTATTACTGAATTATATTCATTAATGGATTGTTTTTATCTATGATAGTGCTAGCTATGCATATGCCATATCCCGGACTAACCCATATCCGCCCGGCACGCGCCATTTCCGCCTAGCACGCGTCATATCTATTTATACATATTTATAGAAAATCACACCTCAAACTGGACGAATACACTCTGCCTATCTGTCTGTATTTGCCTTTCTGTTCAGTTTTTTATTCAGAGTAGAATGTGATCATAGTAAAGCTCAAGGAATATATAAATTTTATGTGTGTTTAATTTGTTATTGCTTATAATTTTGATGTTATACAACAGTACATTATAAAAACTTACCAAATGACCATTTCCATAATCTGCTCCGTACCAGCCCTCGACCCAAATCGGTCCTCGGGCCCCCGGTTCCTTGGGCTGGTACTGAGTACAATATGGAAATGGTCATGTGGCCATCTAAATATATTATTAGATGAATAGAATACACTATCGATGGTCATATATAGATACAAACTGTACATATTAGTATACAATACAGAAAAATATAAAGTTCAAAAGTAGTTTAACAGGAGTATAGGTTTACCTTACAAGAGTGCCGAATGTGGATAAGAAGAACGTGACGATCAGTACGAAACACAAGGTTTTAGCTGACATCAACTTAGGTATCTGGCTATCCTTGGTTGGCTGCCTTCTGTGTTTACTCGTTCGTCTCCTTTTTGACATAACGCTACCGAAAAATCGCAATAAAAATAAAATGCAAGTATCTATATGTATATGTACATGTACAAGTTTCACCGAGTCGGGTAAGAACATCGTTTTTACACGCCAGTGACTCGATGGAACTTGCACACATAATTTATTTTTCTGGTTAATGAACCTTTTCAATGATAAGTATCGATATGTAAGTATCATTGATACAACACGAGATATTGAAACGTGTAGGTTATACCCGTGCATGTCATATTTACTATGATATTATATAATGTGTATACACATTTCGTACCCTTGTCAATCCGAAAGACGTCTTATACTATGACAAGTATTTATGACTAGCCTATACTTATACAAATGGTATAATAGAAAGATACCAATAGTTGCATTGTTATAAATATGAATATTATAAATATAGTGAAGTATACTTACGTAAATAAGTGAACAAAATCCTGCCCGAGTTTAACGAATGGTTGATACTACTAAAAGCGTGCGCTGTGTATATGTCTATTTAGTAGTGGAAAAACAACAATGGGGGTATGTTTTATACTCCTTTATAAAGCATTGTGTAGGTTAAACCTAGAACAAAACAAGCACATGTATCTGTTTTAGATTTTTACGGAGCGGACCGACTACAAAACTAAAATGTTATCTCTCAATCATCTGGCAGTCTTTGGTCTGGATACAAGTACACCCACAATACAGGTGGTTATCGTTCGGCAATTTAAATTCGTCTAATGGGTTTAGGGATAACAAACAAAAAGAATATATAGTGAGTTCCATGTTTATTTATAAATATAACGTTGTATCAATAGTCGATCTGTGTGTAGAAATGCCGAGGTAAAAAAAAAATATTGGTTTTATATATTAGATGATAGTAAGATGAAAAGAACAAAATTAAAGCAAAGCAATTAAAAACCAAATCTAGAGTGTTGCATACTGGTTTTTATTAACATTTAATTTCATCCAAATGACAGGATACTTATTCATCTCATTTTAAGAGTTTCGTTTGTTTGGTCATCTTATCACGTTGGTTACAGTAATTAAATAAAAAAAACACTTTGCTTTATGTCTTGATCCAACACTTCACGTGATTGGACCCCAGTGTTAATTTTCGACTATTACTCTAATGCTTATAGTTTACTGAAATAAACTGCTGTGAAAACAAAACATGACAAAAGATATTTTTTTTCTTTTTTCTTTATTGCACCCTCAGTATACGTGGTTATTTATACAAACAAATAGCTCCGGGAACGGTTCATTTTCCTCTTATATTTTCCTCTTTTCTACGCTTGTGATTCCGTTAATATGAGGAAGAATTAAAAAGATATGTCAGTGTCCATATACAAAAGGACAAATTCTAAAGTGAAAGTTGATACCTTATTAAGTTCACTCACTCATCACATCTTCACAAACATACCGACCCCTCCCCCCCCACTAAAACTGTACATCACAGGCATACATGTACGAATATCCCTCTCACCAATTGAGTTCTTAAATGTTTCAGAGTGGTCATTTTGATCCCAATCATTCAAAAGTCAGCCATGTTATTATAAAATTTATCGCATTTGTACTTGTACATGTAGAATATCATAGTTGTATCATTCCCATAATGTATCAACAAGGTCGGCCTAGCATAGGTCAAGTCATATTCTCAGCAAAAGAGAGTCACTATAGATCACATTTGAATCCCGAACTTTGAATGATTTACATAATAAAGCTAATCCCTAATGTACAACTGATATGACGTAAAGAATATTGCTAAAGTTATTGATCACCTAAAGTTATTGATCACATAAAGGGAAATAACTCCCGGAAAAAAATTGAAACTGAAATATGATTTCCAGGTGTGCGAATACGTGATGTTCAGATTGAATATGAAATTTCGTAGAACAAGTTGATACAAGTATACACCACCCTTGACTTTGTTTCAGAGGTATAACAACTCATATTCAACCTTTGGTATGTAGAATTTGTTGATCGATCAAAAATGTGTTCTGGAAGAAAAATCAAAACACTGTTTGAACAATGGCATCGTCCTATGGCAATAGAAAATAAAAGTAGAAAATTAAATATAGGTACTACAATAGCTTTCATTTCGCACTGAGCATTTTGGTTTGGTTTGTTTGTGTGTTTTAAGGACGTGCCAGGTTTTAGTGGTGAGGAAAGCCGGAGTTTCCGGAGAAAAGCCACCGACCTACATGGCTAGTACCTGGCGACTGCCACACGTAGGCCTCGAACCCGCGTTGCAGAATGTCAGACGCCTTAACCACTTGGCCACCGTACTGAGCATTGGCTGTGTTTAATTGATTTCGTATTTATAGAAACAAGTAGTGTCTCACAAAATTGTATACTTGTATCCATGTTCAGTTCATATACACATCTGTTGAATCCAGGTATTTCCCAATAACAGCGTAGCAGTACTGGTATTGTTTCTAAAGAAAAAAGAAAATAAAATAAAATTCAAAAATGATCTTCACTGTTTTAATAATTTCGATGATATTATCATTAACATATATATATTAACATGATGCAGTTGCACTGAAATTACTCTAAATACTATTGTTGGTATTATACAATTAACTGTTCACATATTAACGGAGAAGTTTTCGTGGCATTCAGAAATAAAGATAAACATATAATAATCAAGAATGTTTACCACATCTCTCAGTGCTTCTGGTTGTCGTGTTTTTAACTGCCGTGCCGTCTGGAAAATGTCCACCCCATCGTCCATCTTGATTTGATCACGTAAGTTAGATATACAACAGAACAAACCACTTTGTGTGCAACCGTTCCTGTAAATGTTAAGAGAAAATAAAATTGTTTTTTATTTAATTTATTATAATGGCGTATTTTATTTTACATTCTATTTTCTACTTCATGTACATTTAGATTTGAGATATTTAAACAGAGAATGCATATATAAACACGTATCTGTTTTAATGATCAGCATGTTAAGCAATTGAACACAATATTAAAGAATATCTACATTCTGTATGCTTGGACCCATTGACGTAAATTACATTCATTTTTGCATAACACAGGTGACCTCATCACTGCGTATTGATATACTAAAATGACGTAGCACATGGCGTACTTGGTTCACGTCCGCCGTTGAACAACCCTCGATGTTGTTTTGTTATGCTAATATGAATTAGTATTAAACATGATTGACATGATTTTAAAGCTTAAATAAGGCGTGTTAAGTACATGATAATGATATACCACTTGTATAAATTCTACTAATTAAATTTGAAAAAGTAACTATATTTTGTTTGTCTTGTTGTCGTGCTGTTGCTAGGACCACCAACAGAAGTTTGATATTTTCCTGCGAAAATAAGCTTTTCTTTCTACTGCGTTGCCTCATTTACAAATATAAAACAATACCTGTATTTGTTTTATTTATGCTTGCAATGGAATATTCAGAGCGCTTAAACATATTAAGATAAGGAATGGATTTATTGTTTCAACATTCATGAGGTAATTACATCATAGGCTTTCTGGACATAACGCGATTCATTGAATATGTCCAGAAAGCCAATGTTGTTATATGTATGACCTCATGAATGTTAAAAAAATAAATTTCATTCTTTAAATTACATTTGTTCATCGATATAAAATTAACATTTCAAACACTTAAGTTCATCATTTGAGTACAACAAACCTCGGAATATAGCATATTTCAAGCTAACAATTGTATTTGTATTATGTCTGCTGGTTATAGTCATTTGTAGATACTTTATACACACTATGAAGCTACAAACATATTCATACCTAAATGATGTACTGTATACCAGGAAAATTGTAGCGACAGTTTAATTTTAACGTTACAAGTTACAACAAGGTTAAAACTATGTCTTTGATACACTGACCGACACATGACGACCACAGGTGTGGTGTTGTCTGACCGACGCCGACTGTCCAGCTGTTCTAGTAGTTGGAGAAGAGACGAGTCGGAGGGAGAAAGTAAGGATTCTGATGACCACTGTTTCATGTTAAAAATCTGGACTGTTCTCTCACGTTTAGACCGCTGTGAATTGAAATAGAATAGAAAAGCATTGAACACTTTTAACAAACAAGAAAATACAGTGTGCGCGTTGTAACTGCAATTGTCATGACATGTATGTTTGTCAGTTGGTTTACAGGTTTGATAAAATACATTAATGAACAATTTGCAAACGTCTTCTTTTAGAAGCTATTAGTATTGCCTTATCTAAAGTATTTCAATTATCTACCATTAAATGGATTCTCACTTGGGAAACTTCCATTCATACAAATTTACTTACCTCGTTTGTTACTTGATAATCCGCAATTTCAACGTCGTAGTCCGTGGAACGTTCATTCAGCTTTTTAAATAAATATGTAGCTGTTGACGTTTCCCTGGCAACAGGAAGCCAGCAACTCTAAAATAAATCAATGGGTTATTTTAAGGCAGTAAGAAATACTTCGCACTGACGAGGTCCTATACTGCATAAAGATTTGACTATTTGGAACATTGACAAGCTTGATTTTAGTCAAACGCATGCTATTGATATTTTAATATGAATTCGAATTCGGCGTCAAACAGAAAGGTGAATCGCTGTCAATGATGTTACTTTATTATGACGTCAAATTCAAGTCTTTAAATATTCTCACTCTCCCATTTACCATGAGAATGTATGCCCAATTACTTGTTTTCATCGAAGGTTATAAATGTGAAGGTATACATGTAGTAATAGTAACCATTTGATCGTTAACTACCAGTGTCATACCTCTTGTGGTGTGCCAATGACGACGATATTGTCACAGTTGTAATCGAACACCATCGTCCAGAAGTCATCCACCGTATTCTCTAGAGGAAACTGTGTCATCAGGTATCCAAACCTGGACGTGTGGGACTGATGAAGTAGACGTAATGTTGGAAAAGTTTTACATATCCGAGTGAGTGTTTGATTTTATATTAAGTGATATTTCATATTTCAGGTGTATGTGTATGTACCAGAACAATTATAAAGTCAAATTTTCAGAGCAACACACGTTTTTAAAAGAAACAAATATAAATAAGTGAATCAATAGATACAGAAATGAAGAAAGAAAGACCTGTGATTTACCGGTATTATAACGGCGTTGATGTAATTTGTCCTGTTGGATGGCTGTGATTGAAGATATGCTCTAAACTTGTCCACTTAAAAGCAAAAAGAATAATATCAGGGAATGTTGTAGAGTATCTCAAACCTTATGCATATAGCATAGAGATACATATTCCAAGTGCAAGGCTACATGACTTTTTAAATGTCATACTTGAGATATCATTTAATTAATAGCTATTACATGGATGCCTGTATGTATTGTTACTGCACTACTCTGCTCTTCCACCAATCGATAAACAGTTATTCAAGCGGAATCTATGTTTAACAATTATGTATACAATAGTTCGTACTTACCGGCAAGAATATCGGTATCCCTATTCTTGTTTTCGTTTTCCTTCAATAGTGCAGACGAGTAACAGCTAGATGTGTAGTTTGGATTAAAGGATTGCAGTCTCTATAATAGTAAAAGAGCACTTGTTAATAGCTTTCAGATGTCATTTTCAGATGTTTTCTCTCGTTATTATTTCTGTCCATTCTATTATTGTGAATAATTTAACTGAAGTGAATGCTTATCATACTATAAAGATTATACTGGTCATTATTATCGTCATTTTTACTGTTATTATCGTAAATCATGTAATAAATCATATATTTGTATTAACCTTATTAATCATATCACCGTCACATCACTGACCCCTTATCGAAATTTCGTCCGAGCAAAATAAAACAAAGAGAACGGGACACACATTAAAATTCAGCAATCCCTAACTCAAAGACGGTCAACTCACGCCAATATTTTTCTATTGTCGAGTCAAATTTTGCACATGAAACATTTACTTTACATCAACAGCTTCCTACCTCAAATTCCTTGAAAAGTTTGGTAAAGTTAGCTGGTCTACCGTCCAAACATAGCGTTGCCAGCTCACTGTTGAAGATAGACCGGGAAATGTACGATTCTGGCAAGTTAAACCCTTCGATAAGAAGCTCGTGCAATGCAATGTACTGTTCCTGCAAGTAAAAGTACCTTTGAGTAAAATGTGATCATCAACATACATCAGTTACATTCCGCATGATTAATGTGTGTGTGTACATGTATAATGATAATGCAAAAATAATGTATTCATTGAAATAAGATAAGGTTGTTGAAATTGTTAATAAAACGTAATGAAAATACCTCTACGTATACATAATTTGTTCAGGTAGTAGTGCGTAGGTATGTAAGTTCTTACCTAAATTATCAGGCTCTTGTGGCCACACGTGCATGATAGTTATATCTAAAAATATCTAACGGAAAAAAAAATCAGCGACTTCTACGTAACTCCGCATTCTATACCCAAGTCTTATTCCAGTATCCAAGGAAATAACACAAAGGAAGTTTTACTTTAACATTCGAAATGATTATTTTTAACCTGAAAGTAGTCTTTAGGTTACCTACAAACTATCTACAAATAATAACCACACTGTTGCATTGTTTCACTCAATTCTGAAAACACACATTTATCTCGAAAACATTTGTTTTGTATAATAGTTAAACTTTTAAAACAATGTAGTTAATTGGACATATTTTTCGTTTTACGAAAGTGTTATTTATACACTTGGACATGGTTCACTAGGTAATACAATGTCGGGGACATCGCGTTGGAGCACGTGTGGCGATGTTAGTTTGACATTATTCAATCCGATAAGATTTTAAATACTTACATAAGTTTGGATCATGTTCATTCTATTCTTCCGCATGGTTCCTATGTAACTAGGAATGTCGATCACTCCGGTCGTCTTGCCATATGTGAGAAGTGCGTCTAATGCAATGAAGGTTCCAGTTCTCCCGATGCCAGCACTGTCATATAAACCATATGAAGACATTAGATAGGCATTTCATAGGATATTTCATTCCATACATTTTGACTCCTTAGAGTTAATCATCATTTTTGCAGAAGGACGCGACACATTTGAGTGTAATACAATAAGCTTTGCTACCTGCAGTGTACGACCATTTGTCCGGATAACTGTGTTTGATATAAAGTTACACGGCGATGGAAGAGGACGAGTTCAAGCGTATCCGGAGTTCCGTGATCCGGCCAAGTGGTAAAGTGGAAGTGGTGGACCTGGCGCTCCTCCTTTGTCTAAAAAAAATACGGTTTATATTCAGTCACTACTTATGTGAAGATATGGAAACTGGTTCGTATTCCTTTACATTTAAATTGCATCAGATTTTATATTCTGTTGGTATTACTGGTATGAATGTGAAATTATTGCATCAACACTTGAATCACATTTAAAAATAAGACATTCGAGTCAATGACTTGAACATGACAAATACATCTACATACCTGCTTATGGACAATAGAGATATCACGGATGACATAACACGCATACGTCCTCTCTCTGTCCAGTGTTAGGTCAAACGTGTCTGTAGAAAGTGGAGTCCCTTCATCTGGCCAGTACTGATGACATTTTACCTGAAACGCCATTTCGATTAAAAATGTATTAGATTCAAATATACAAAAATCCTTTTCCGAATGCTATGCGAGTTATCGCCCTTCCTTGGCCATTAAGCATCATAAACGATGATTGATTCTATGTTGTTGTAAGTGTTATGAGTAGTGCTCACGAGGAAATCTTTATGTGATTTATGAACAGAGCAGGACAGAATCACTATCTTAGTAAGATATTAAGGTAATTGTTAGCTATCTATAAAACCCCATTTTAATGTAACCGCAGTCGTGTTTGTTTTTCTTATTTCTATTGTCTAGTAATAAGACTTCTTTATCTTATTTTATTATTTATAAATAACATCAATGTAATAGTCATAAGGAGCTTTATACCTTTGCCCCTTCTACGAGATTAGTCAGCATAACAATCTTCCCGGAGTTAACCTGCCATAACATCCTCCAGAAGTCACCTACAGTGCTGGTCTTTGGTCCTTAAAACAAACACCGATACATTTATCATTACTACGTGGTATTGTTGCTGGAGTGGATTACATCTTTACTAGTTGCGTTGCTTGACAATGAAAAATATTATACTTAAGTCTAAAACTGCTCAAACTCTGTTATGACATAAGAACATGAAAGATGTTATTTTTTTACGGGATATTTTGTGTTTGAAATACATGCGAGTGGACGTAGAACTTTACATAAACGAAGGTATGCTTTCCCTTAATACACTTTTTATTGTGTTTCATTTGGAAATACGCAAATTTAGCACGAACTTAATAACGCATGGTACGAGAATGTATACGTACTTATCATAATGTCTTATGCATAATGTGTAAATTGTTACATATTGACAAGTTCATGCTGTATACATAGTTTGCTTACCTTGACTTGCTATATACACTTTACTGGTGTCAACACTCTGTAATTTAAAGTAATATAACGTGCTATTGAATCAAAAACATATATATATGTATTGTTACAGCGTCGTTTCTGTCGGTATTATTTGAACCTAATATAATATTTTCCTTCATAATGACTTTTATTACAATTATTGTCTAATATATCTTAATAATGATACCGTTTAAGTCTCACAAGCATACAACTAAATATCGCTGTTTATTTTCAATTCTGCAGGCAATTCAATACTTGTTTTGATAACAACAACAAAACATATGAATAAGTTGTCGTTAGTATCATGTACTTCATCAGCAATACGACAAAAACAAAACAAATTAAAAATAACATTTAGATTCATATTGCAGAAAGCCAAGAAGTTCAAGTGAATATCCTTACATCAATGTAGTTTGCGTTGATGTAGCTGGAATCATCATCATCACCCATTGTGTTTAATATAACTCTAGAGTGGTCATCTACAAAGTAATGTAAGTGTCGTTTTCACTTATTAACATTTTTATAATATTTAATAACAACGGAACATTTATATTATATTTAATACATTGTGATAATTTTGCCGTATCTGTCTATCCAAAGTTATTTCACGTTAGGAATTCATCGTTCGCCTATAACTGTTTAACGTTACAATTGACTATATCCATTAGTTAAAACAAAGGGTTATAATCAATTTAAAATTTAGAATGTTTATTTAAAGATGTAGGGGAGATAGTTTTCATTCAATTTACAGGTTAAAGAACAAGTATATCCTTAATAGTTTGTATATTTCACTATGTAAAATAAAAGATAATGATTTGGTATTTTTTTTTGTGTCAGAAGTATAAGCAAAGTTAACGATTATATTCAAAATTATGTTTACGGAACCAAAAAATGCATTACTTACATGGAAATGTGGTCTTGAACCGGTTCTTTGATTTGTTTGACACCTTTTCTCCTTCCTCGTGAGGATACATGGCTCCCAGTGGAAATGTCTACAAGTAATTGAGATCAAAAAGGTAAAAATATATTGATATCATTTCATCAACCGAGTTAATATATCTGTTTTTACGGAGACGAAAAGTTTGCGCCACGCCGTAATGGAAAACGTGTAGTTTGTCATCATTAGTATAATAAATAACAGTAACTTTATGCAGTGATGCATTTTCGTTTTCTTTGCTGATTACGATATCATGCGACATATTAATCCTAAGATGTTGATTACATAAATTTCTCGCAGAAAGTCAGTTATAGATTAAGAATTTAGATTTCATTAATTTATCTCTGAAAAATAGCAATGGAAGTTTGACATTGATTTATCCAAGGCAAACAACCATGGCAGTTTGACTCGATTAAGCAGCAGATATCAACTGTTGTGGTGGTAATTATAAAAATACAAATTTACTGACAACCACGTCGATGAGGCACAGAAATACCAGGAATAATATCCTATATTCATACCTGAAACTCCTCTTTGAATGCTGTCGCATTATTTGCCATCTTGGAGTTGATGGAAGTGCTTAATTGATTGACAGGGACACGTGTGACCTGAACGTTTTTATACACAACCTCTTCATCAGATGTGTTGTCCATGTTTTGCAAGTTCACGTACACTTGTTCATTCTCTCTTGCAGCAGCTAAATGATTTAAATGTCAGGAGTAACAATAAGTTCATAAATCATTAAAATTTGTCGTGATTTTTTTTTTATAATTTTTATGCAGGGTATCAAATATGTACTACAATCTTTACCTAATATAATAATCCTTAAGTCCATTGGCATTGGAAATTATTATTCCGCTTTGCTACCAATAAAGTGAGAAAATAATTTCTCATTGAAATTGCAAAAGAGCCAGTAACTAAATTATCGGAGGACCCACATATGTTCAAAATTATCCTGATCATTGATATCCTATATCTGCCAACACAGGTTGGTATATGATTAACATTATTGTTAGTAATAGCGTTTGCTTTGTAAGCTAATACCTATAACGGAAAAATGTTTTGCATATTGACACAGCTATCAATGGTATACTATCCTTTTACCCATTAGACACGGCGGGCGGTAACGTCTTTCTTCCTACAGCAACTCATCCTTACCTTTCAGTTCCTGATTTTGTTCATCGTCTGTTTTTCCTGCCGATTTGTCAGATGTCTTTTCTACACAGTCGATACCTTTTGGACTGGATTCGCTAGAGCGTTTAGGAATCCGTTGTGAATTTTTCCTTAAAATAATGATATACGGTATTAAGCAACACTTTTTGTGTTATTTAATAGAAATGGAGAGCATTCAATAGTAAACTAGGTGCCAATTTGCAGCCACGATTTTTAAGTTTTAGTACCAAGATCTGATTAGGATAACTAACCGTAAAACAATATTTGGCAATTATTTACAGAACATCTAGACAACAAGTTGTTTATGTCTTACCTTCTTACGATGATGATAACAACTACAGTGACTAGGGCAATCACTACTGTTGCACCCACTCCAGCCCCGGCGTACAACCCAGTCTGCTCGACTGGAGTGGAGGCAACTGAAATTGAGAAGGTATAACTTAAAGTCATACAGCCGCATTCCATACAAATATACTTATTTCTTAGAGTTTTACACAAATACGAATATCTTTGCTTAATGATGTACACCTCCTGATACTCACGACATAAGTGAATATCAGGGATGCATATTTTGAGTGAACAAGTATATGGAATATAAAGCATGCTTTAGATTTTTATGTTGAAACACATTTATTATTCAAGACTAATGTAGAAACCACAACATAATTGTTTATGAGGAAATCAGACACAAATTCAGACACAAATCATTTGCTGGAAAAGGATACACAAATGAGAAAGAATGTTGAACCTGAGTAACTTTTACTCCTGGTCTTGCACGTGTCTCCCTCCCAGCTTTTCACACATCTACATGACCCATTGGTCATACCACAAGATGAGCCAAGACATTGACCACATGTTTGCTCACAGTCAAGTCCATAGTATCCCGTCTTGCAAGCTGTATAATAAAACAAACTCAAAACAAATAATGTCTACATAATTCCATACAAATAATGCCATTCGGTTTGCATAAAAATTGAAGAAAAAATCAGTTGTGTCGCTTTGTTTACCGATGACTCTTTGTGTATTATTTATTTTATTTTTTCTTATATGAAAACGACCAAAGAAATGTTATATCATATCTATAATCTTTACCTAAGCAATCCCCGCTTTTTTGTTCACAGCCATCACTGGTACAGTGACTCGGGCACGACACATTACAGTGTAGACCGAAGAAACCTTCTACACAATCTTCAATAAAAGTACAACATATTATACATTTACTTACTTTTATAATCCCAGTTTCGAAAAAATATTTAAATCATGTTCAAAAATAGACATTTTGTTAGAAATAAACTCATCTCTATGGAGCATAGCAAATCCCTGAAACGTAAATAATAAATAAAATGTATTATATTTTTTAATATTGCATGATTACGCGTTTGAACAACTGTTGTATATGTACGATTGGCATATCTAAGAAAAACACACAGTAAGACGAGTCGCACAGTCGATGCGCAAACATCACATTTATCACAATTCTCATGCTTATATTAGGAATAGGTTATGAAAAGTACAAAACATTGCGATAAATATGATTAACATATCGTACCTGTACATTGTCAGGAATAGGTTATGAAAAGTACAAAACATTGCTATAAATATGATTAACATATCGTACCTGTACACTGTCAGGAATATGTTATGAAAAGTACGAAACATTGCTATAAATGTGATTAACATATCGTACCTGTACACTGTCCGGTGTTTATATCACAGCGTTTATCTTTACAGGTCGCAGGACACGATTTGTCACAGACAGAGCTGTAGAGTCCATATGAGCATGCTGAAATTCATTATATCTTTCTTGTTAAAATTAAATCTTATAGTTTTTTTACAAGGGGTCATGATATGGGAGGAAACCAGAGTCCCTTAAGAAACACAAAGTGGTCAATATGGAATATTAAGAGATGAAGAATATATTCAATGCGCAATTTGAACTAAAAACAGTAGAGATACTCCAAAAATCAATCCATATGTAAACACATTAAGAAGTTTAAATAAATATTAAATAAGTTTTTTACCCATTACATTGATAAACTGGCTCCTATATACGAGTTTCAGAAATCTCATATATAATAATAACGAATTTGAAATACTGTTTATAACATTGCTAAGAATGAGTGTTTATATTGGCATTTTAAGACGCCTTTGTATATACTTTTTATACTGTGTCAAAATGCTTTGATGTTACAATGAGCGAAATTCCTTCAGATAATACGCAAACATGTAACTTGGTCATGTTAGCAAAATAACGCGGTAGAAATATGAATAAACCCGTATTAACTTCACGGTTACGTATTACAGGTGTTCCAGGTTTAACATACCTGTACATTGACCACTGGTCTGGAGACATGTCGTACAATTTGATGGACACTCCATTTCACACTTAGTACCATGGTATCCAGGTTCACATTCTTAATAAATGGAAACATGTCAATACAACAGCATTGAAACACAAGGGCAAAATTAACCGAAAGTAAAATGACAACATTTGAACAAAGAAGAATTCTTTGGAAACCTATTTGCATCTGTTCATCTTTCATATTTAGAAATTGGAATTCGTGTATATTTGTGTGGTTTTGTATTATATAACATGTGTACCTTCATGTCTATACAAATTGTATGTGGTAATGCTACACAATAAATCACCGGATCTAAAGATGAGAAAAATAATTATTCATTAATTGATAAGCGAATGCAATACTTACGACTGCATTTGCCGTCAATTTTGTCACAAACAGGATCAGAACATCCAGTGGCGCAGGCACCACAGAGAGAACCATAGAAACCATCCTCACATGCTGGCAAACAAACAAAAGGAAATTATGTATCCCTTGTTGAGTTATGTTTTAAATAAAGTAATGCATAATTACTGTGCGATGATGATTGTATGTAACATTTATATGTGCTATATAAGGATATTTTGTAATATGTAATATTTAACAACACGTGACAGTAAGATGATGATTTATGTAACATTTATATGTGCTATATAAGGATATTTTGTAATATGTAATATTTAACAACAAGTGACAATAAGATGATGATTTATGTAAAAATCACCGGTAGTGTAATGCTTCAACAAAGGTATGTAACAACAACCCCCGATAGGATAACTGATAAATGCTACAGCCAGCGCATATAGGAAAATGGTTTATGAAACAGCAAGGACAATAGGTAAATGATTGTTTTCAACAATAAGTCACACACGATCAATGTGTTATGTGACAACAAGCATCAAGCAACAAGCGTCAGTAAGGCAGTGATGTATACAACAGCAAATATTTGAAGGTAATAATGTTTGCAACATCAATCAGCAGGACTATGATTGCATGAAACAACAAGCACCTGTACGATAACGATCGTAACATCAAACACGGGTAGGATAATGAATGCATGCAATTGCAAGAGGGGGTTGTTTATCGATGAAAGAGGCAAAGTTGATGTCAAAGTAATAAGCAAACTACAAGGGATATTAGAATAGTTTTATATGTCATTTTTATGTTTACATTCAAATCAACAGAAATAATGTGAGACCTGACAAACATGATGTAGGAGACCAAAGTGGATGGTATTTTACAATACACCTTGTATTGTGCACACTATGTATACTTTTCTAAATGCATTTAATCACATCAACGTCAAACAAGTGGCAAGTAAGATAAACCTATTAAGTTTTTAAAATCTGTAGACTTTGATCACATGTAAGTTAAGTAAAGATTTTTTTTTTTCTTATAACCTACTATTATTATAAGTGTACCGTACCTAAGCAGATACCTGTCTCCACATCACATGTACCGTTCAAGCAATGTACAGGACACCGTTTACACACAGCACTGTCCTTATAGGATCCATATGAACAGTCTGAAATTTGAAAACATATAGATAGATATATCGATATGCTCCTAAGCAATTTTCATAACGTCAGGTACAGATTACAATGTATTTAGCAATATGCTTCTTCAAATATATCGACTATCATTTGTATTTCTGATGTGTCAAAATAAAATTTGATCCACATGTAAAAATAAACATTTTTTAAGAGGTTGAAACTGAGAAAGTGAAAAATGTCAAAACAGGTATACATACAATTACACCGACCGGTCGTTGGGTCACACAGGTCCTTGACGCAAGTCCTATCACAGTTCGAAAGACAATTGCCATCTCCATATTTCCCCAAGGGACAGCCTTAAATGTTTTTCGATTAAATGAGTAATACAGACTTAACTTTAAACCAAATATTTCTGAAAATAGCATACATTTAATTGGCAGCAACCTCTGAATCAATAAAATGTACTGTAATTTACTATTTGTAAATAACAAGTAGTGTACAACAATTATGATCAACATCATGTACTTACTTGATGTTTTATTGCTTATAAGTAATTACTATTTGTAAATAACAAGTAGTGTACAACAATTATGATCACTATCATGTACTTACTTGATGTTTTATTGCTTATAAGTAATTACTATTTGTAGATAACAAGTGGTGTACAACAATTATGATCAACATCATGTACTTACTTGATGTTTTATTGCTTATACGTAAAATATGCCAACACAAATATAACGCAATGTTTATCAAGGACAAGATGGATTTTAGTTATGAATGTGCAGACATCTCTACAGCAATATAACTATGGCTGTCACAATATATCGGGAAACAGGTATATCGCAATACACAGGTATATCGTATCGAACCACAATTTAGAGATGAAATATTGTTATATCGCAATATTTTTCAAAAGCATATTTTTATGTATCTGCTTGGTGTTTGAACTTTGCTGCAAATTACGACAAATTCAAACAAATACGCGAATAAGCATAAAGCAGGCTTTTAATAGTTCAAATCTGTAATCGATGGTTTGTTTGACAAAAATCTTAAATCTATGTAAGCCATATTATATACATGTATGATTAGGTTTGATAACATTCTGACAACAAATTATTATAAAATTGAGCACATCCTTCCTATGACAATAGATCGGGATACGTATCTCAATATATTCATTTTGTATTACAATATATCGTGATACACTCTTGATGTATTGTGACTCCCCTAAATATTACGTATCAAAATATCTTTATACATACCGTAAACTTCGACCTCACAAATCTCCATCACAGCATAAAAAGAGTACCAGGTGTAGGTTTTAGTCTTTGAGCGATCTATAAAGATTGTTAGGTATCGAATGGTTCCTTTACAACTGATGCTTGGGGTCAAATCCATTCTATCAGGGGTAGCAGTGGTGTCGATATGACAGAGAAAACCTCTTCTCCAGAATGTCGTATTTGATCCATAGATTTGATAGCCACCGGATCGCTTTTTCTGTATGTATTCTTCATCTAAATAAATCCAAGTGCAACGTAAAGAGTTAATCCTAATCTGTCTTTCAATTATATTGACACTGCGAATGTTAAACAACAACAATCTTTGACAAACAGTTTATAACATAGGCAATGAAACGAATCCTTCTAATAGATATCATTTAGCTAGCTATCTCTTACTAGCTTCCCTTAAGTTTGAGAAGATGAGCTGGTATACTAATTATCCCGATTATCTTATATCTTTGTATACATATATATATATTCAATAAAGTATTATGATGTGCTGGTCGGATGGCGCAGTGGAAAGCCCACTTGCCTTTCACTAAGGCGACCGGGGTTCGGTTTCCCGATCAGACGTGGAAAGGTATGGGGTCACCTGCCCGACAACGTTGGTTTTCACGTGGTGCTCCGGTTTTCCTCCCTCATCTAGACTAGTAAAAACAAAGTGAAGTGAAAATGCTAATTCTTCTGAATGTTTATGTGACACCCACCTCTGAAGTATATTTTGACGGATTCCATGACGACTTGTCCCTGTAAATCTATTTGCCAGAACGCCGTCTTCAATTGTAATGCTGTATGTAAACAACATCCACTAGAAAGGGATTGTTTAGTACAGCCATCCACGGCTTTACTGCTGCCTGTTGTTCTTTTAAAAGTTGAACTTTGATTTGTTGTTTTAACATTTGGATTACGGCTCATGTTAACTGCAAGTTTAAATGAAAATATTACTCAGTGGATACAAGGTATCAGTTTACAACTAACGAAGCGTCAGGTCTTTTTTTCGTGAACGCTGTAGACGGTAATTTTAATCCAGTTGAATTAGAAACAACCGATGAGTATGAAGGCTCTTCAAAATTCGAATGCATACCATTGAACATGTTTAAGTGTTTCATTTTCCAATAAAATGTGCATCGTAACTCATTGAGTATTGTACAATATACACGTTTTTTTTAATGACGAGCATGTTTAGAAACTTACGTTAATTATTCGTTGAAATCAGACATTATAGTTTAGTAAAATATAAACACCTCACCTATACTATTATGATTGATGGAATCACAAGCACCTCGATTGAACTTATGAATATGCATTAATTTAAGATAAACGCCCGCTGATTTTCGGTAATATTTTGTTCTATTAGAAAAGAAATAATCATATATCTTTATGATAACATACAATGTCTTTAACATTCTTTAAATACCGTCATTAAAATCAAATTAAAATTTCTATTGTCTTTTTTGTCGAATATTTTTTTTCACCTGCATATTTATTGGGGTTGATTAGATTAACGGAACTGTGATAGATATTACCCTATTTGTGTTTTTATTGTACCTGTCGATGTATTGCTAATTACTATTTAACGAATAAAGCCTATTATCGTGCTACAGCATACAACTGACAGTATTATGAAAATCCAACGTAATGCAATAAAATTTCCCCATATTTATTTTCAATATTTTGCAATACATACCACAATAACATTGTACGTGTATGAAAAAGATAATGTGTGACTGAGAACATAAAGCATCACTGTTATCCCCTAATGGATGCCTACACACATTAACATATTATTAGTAATCGCAAAAGGATGTGTAGTTGAAATTAGCATCGTCTTGCCGAGCCATACACATCCGCCTAGTATGACTAAATGTGTTGTATATTTTTTATTTATGCGTGCCTGTTTGGCTGTGTATATCGTGCATTGTCTATCAAATCCACATAAATTCCTTTTTTGTATATTAAAAAAACAATGCTGATAAGGTTTTTCATAAAACTATTTGATATAACTTATAAAAGACACAACATATATATAAAAACTTTCCGTTGTGGGTCGAAGAAGTTATATTAACGGTAGCTTCTCGAATAACACAAACCGGATCCTTATAAACTTATGCTTGTAGGATACGAATAACTCCGAATTTTAAATGGGGCAAGACAGTAATTCTTACAGTGTAGACAATACGATGTTGTCAAAATTTCGGAGCAATCCGCTCCTTAAGATCTTTCCGTTAATAGACATATTGTATATAGACATATCAGACGAGATGAAATTTATCATGCTTATCTAACTCATGCGTTTAGTATCAAATTATAAAAAATGACGTTAAGTTTGTTTTAGACGAACTTAATCGAGTAAACAAAGCACCACTGTTTCATAAGATACTTTATGTTACTTTTGTCTTCTATGATTTTTATATATCATATCAGAAACGTTGTATCTCATTAAGTATATACAAGATAGCTATAAGATGTATGATACAATATGCAAGTTTTGCACTGCTCTCTGAATGAAATTTCAAATTTAATTTGCCTTTATTTGCGCTAAAAATCATTAACTAATAACAACGTAGACTGTATTTGTGATGACCTTTTTTAACAAAGTTTTTTTTATAACGACGATAATTATATTTAACAGATCATATTGTGTTACAGTGTATGCTGTTATAAAACAAATGGTAATTATGGCGTCTGACAATCTGCTACCACTAGCCCTCTACCACTGGGTCGTGGTTTCGAGGCCTACATGGGACAGTCGCCAGGTACTGGCCTTAAGTCGGTGTTTTTTTCCGGGAACTCCGGCTTTCCTCCACCACCAAAACCTGGCACGTCCTTAAATAACCGTAGCTGTTAATTGGACGTTAAACACAAATAAAGCAAACGAAACAAAATGTTATATAACACGACAGTTTTTGAATGGCAATTACTACACACTTGACAGTGTTGTAGTTTAATTGATCCAGTGTTGTAGTTTAATTTTGATAGTGTAGTAGTTTAATTGTGACAGTGTAGTTGTTTAATTGTGACAGTGTATACGTTTACCTACTACATTGTTGTAGCTATAACACGTGTGTGTAAGGTTACGTCACATGTTGGTAATTTGAAAACATGAAGCGTTTACCTTTTTACAGGTGTGTGAGGTTCTGTTAATAACAATAACAAATTATTACAGGTAAAGGTGAATTTACATTTCGCATTAAATTTGTATAATCCAACTTCTATCAAGACATGGATACTTCTAATCAAATTAACAAGTCGATGTTATAATGTTTCTGTATGACTCAGACGTAAAGCAATGCATAATTAATAATATAACAAAGTGAAACTTAATTAAATAATACAATGTATTGTGTTGCAACAATTCATGGTGTATTATACCTGTTATTAACGGGACATGTACTCAATATGAAATATCACCTCTAAGTTTTACAAACCAAACCTACCTGACATGTATGTGATCGTTACCATTAACAAGAAATGGAGAGTGATGAACCACACAGCAGACGCCTCCATCATACTTCATACTGTTGATCAATGTCACCAAGACGCGTGTGAATGGGCTTTACCACGCCCTAGCATTTACCAGGAAACGAAAAGACACAAAGGAATTCTACGTACACATACAGTGTCCTACAATGGAATCATAACGCGTGACGACCAACGGCTATTTATCATATGCTTTATATCGCTACAGCGATGTAACACAGTAAATCTTAAAACACAGTAGTAAAACTAACATCGCAGTACACAACATAGCTTATTTTGAGTGACACAACATACAAGGAGGTTTGTGATACAATCGGAAATATAATTGTCTTGATGATTTTGTTAATAACTGTAATGAACCGTTGTTCTCAAACACACATCTATAAGTACTGACTTGCAAATATGTGTGTTATGTGTATATAAATAAATCATAAAGTCTTTTTGTTCATAATGGGTTTTGACTAGGCCTTCTTTTATCACAGGAAGCGAATTGAGAGTTATTGTGAGGCCTGTGTATGGCAAAATAGGTTACTTCGTACGTATTTGTTTTACATTTATATCATAATTATTTTTTTCATTTCAAATACAATTTGTCTTTTTTTTACTATGATAACGTATGCGGCGTTGTATGTTATCGTCCCTCTTGGTTCTAATATTGTGGTTCAATAGACAGTCAAGAAACGTTTGATTGTGTTAGTGTTATTTCTATGTAATGACAGCCAGTGACAACTTATGTATTGCTTCAAATTGAGGGAGTATACGTATCATTGTTACATTGTAGATAATACCAGTGATAAGTACTTGCCAATATATCACTCTATACTATACATGTGCAACGTTTGTCTTTATTTCTTGTCATAATTGTTTTGTTTTATATATATTTATAAGTTAAAACACTAATGCGTCATTCTTGACTCACAATATAACGAATCACATTGATCTTAGGAAAACAGTTTTAAGAAAATCCAACTCTTCAGAAGTAACCATACATGTAGTTTATGAATTTGATAACAGGTGTTTATCTGCGGCCACTGCTTAACGCCTTATAATGGTATACTTTACTGAAGTTGCTTCCCTTTTATCAGCAAAGAACATGTATGCCATTAACTGTATAGGATAGAAGGCACATGTGCCTAGCCAATCGTAGAATTATTTTACTTATCAAAACAATTTGTTGAAATGAATCATATTTCTATTGTTTCTAGATGTAGTTATACATTTTATAAGCTCGCTAATTAATATAGTTATACGATTGATAAGCCTGTATAGATCAAGCATGAATATTTCTGACTTAAGATGATCAATTCAATGTATCCCTAACAACGGGTCGTTATTTGATAAACCGAAAAGAAAGCTACCAACAATGTAGTTACATCTGATATTAATTTACACAGCGACAATAAAAGTGAACTGATTAAGAAACAATCACATTGCAGGAAGTTCAACTAATTATCTTAAGGTAATTGAAACTTATTGCTATAGTACACTAATTATGAGAGTAATGTATCAAATAAGATACATTTCTATCATTTGCCAGACTCCCATATCTTGGCCACAATTTCATGGCTTAATTGATTTCTGTGAGAACACCGGGTTGCACATCCAATACTCCTTCAATTTCAAATGGCTCAGTCAATTTGCCACATTTCCATGTTGAAACACACAGTTTCGGAAATGATGTTTTCAATTGCAAAATGGCTGACGAGGAATAATGTCTATTAGTGTAGAGTTGCTACTCTTACGATTTTGGAGGTGGCACATTCTAAACCATGGACTTTAACATGTGTAGGATATGTCACATTCATATTGTACGAGTATGATTTCGAAGGCGGCTCACTTGCATGCCCCAGGCGGTCTACTATCGATGTTACTTTGACTCATAACGATAATGATTGCCGCTCGAGTTGAGAGATTAGCGTATATCTCATTGAGGTAACTAATCGTAGACGTTTTCACAGAAATAAATTGCTGTCTTAGTAGACTGGAGCAATAACATACACTTAAATTCCTACTGATGGAATTATTGCTTTCATCTAAAGGATGTTGATAAAACGTATTAACGAACGTGTCAAAGATTTACCATTTCTCAAAAAAATATTTCTTCTGGTTGGTTAATAAAAACTGTATTACAGAATTATATGGCATCTTTCATTTAAGGTTCTCTTGTCTTTCAGCATAGCATGTTAAGGCTTGGTTTGGCAGGATCTTTGTAAAATGATTTTGTGTGACGAATTCTCATTTTCATGCCGAATATAATAAATATGATTGGTAATTGTACTTGATAATTCGACCGCTGTGTATCACGTAAGATTTTTCGGTTCATCTCTTGACACTGTCTACCTTTCAATAAATTGCTTTGCTATACAAACAAAAGACGGATTGTATATTAAAAAACAGCATTCGGCTTCATGAACCAGCCGACTGAATGAATTTGCTGCAACATTAGCGTAAGAATTTAAAAGTACGTGTAACTATAAGATTATTGGTTTTTTTTCTTGTCTTGTTTTGTCTCGCTTATGATATTGGATTTGTTTTATTTTTGCAATTATTTACTGACAAAAAGCGCACTGCCTAGAAGATTTGTGAAATTCACTGTCAGTGTTTCTGTTTTAACTTCTCGAATGTATTTCTGTTTGGATCCAGTGCCCGTATTGAACAATAAGGTTTTCAATACGTATACAACTTTTCAAGTTTTATTATCAAAAAGACATAGAGTACCTACATGTTCTTTCACCCGCTTGAAAAATAGAAAGGGTCACCAGGTTTAATTTGAAAAGGAAAAGATAACGTATATAACTATGCAATATGTGTGTGAGGCATTTGACATAGCCCACAAAGGACCCGTATCAATCGTCAAAGCCGATTTTACGGTAGAGCTGATGACGACCTTTCTAATTTGATAATGGAGATATGGGTCCCTAGTGGGAGGTGCCAAATGTTGCACGCATATATTGTATTTCCTCGAGCCGTGTTCCTCCCGAAGGCTATTTATATTGCAAAATCCATCTTTGAACGGTGTTAAGAAGGAAATATGGAATATTGTCAACAAATTTGGACAGTTTGTGTAGTATTGTTCGATCGTCTTCCGGCAAAGGCTGATGGTGTGTGGGGGATGGGGGATGGGAGCAAGATGATTGGAGACGAAGTTCCGAAAACTACCAGTCCCTTACAAAACTTCACATGATACCTCAAAGAAATTTTGGAGACAGTGATTTTACATCACTGGTCATCAAAACTACTTTCCCTAATGTAGGTACTTCGATAAACCAATAGAATGTTGCATTTATCTCAGCACTTGGAACATCTATTTTTTTTATTTATTTATCCCTCCTTCCTTCCGTGCAGGTCTTCTTTCGCAATTGCCTTTTGCTTTATTGACGACATCCGTGAGGTACGTCTAGGTCTAACCCAAGAAACATCACGTCCTCAAAGCGACATCAATACAGTAAGGCACACTTTACCTTCATATCACACACACAAAATCCCCGTTGATCATGGTGGCATAAGCCGTCATCACGCGGCATCCCCCCTTAGCAGTCGAACAAGTGTGCTTTCTGTAATGATATATTTGTCAACATATCGAATTGCGTCGTTGTCGTGGAACACCGATGGCAAAGTCTAAGATGCAATTAGTTTAGATGTCAAAAGTTCAACAGAGTCAAAACCATGGTTAAGTGATTGTACATTGACAGCAACATAGCGATTGTATTAACTGGATGTCGGTGTATTTAATATAACAATCTTGAGACTGATGTTTGGATTATAGATTTCAGCTATGTAAAATAGGAGACTCCTGACGTCAACATGCAATTGTACATTATGGCAGTTTCTGTCTTTGGTTGGGCCAGGGGCACCATGCAGACATTTTAATTAAAGACGCTTGCAAATATGCCTGGTTAGATATTGCCGTCCCTAACGATGTCGTATGGTGTAGAGGGAATTATGTCCTTTCTGTCTGACTTCAGTCAGGTGTTCTGTGTCAATAAAGAGGCTTGTCAGGTGCCAGGTATCTTCTGAAGATAAAAAAAAACAACACAGAGCGGTTATATAAACTATACTGAAATCGTAAGATGAAAGTTCGGAGATATAACGGCCAACACGAGAAGCAGACATACTACAATTACTGGTAACAATCTCCCCTTAAATCCTAGGTTTAAAATTATACCACTGCAAGGTTTTATCTAAAGATGCAATTTAATCCATAGCATGGGAAAACACTTGGAATGTTTTCTCTAAATTTTTATACAAAATGTTCGTTAATATTTTTCTCTCAATCAGGGTACTTTTTCATTGTATCGACCGCCACAGAGAAGATAGACCAACAGAAAATGATATTTTAATTCATAGGAAAAAATACATAGTACATCAGATTTGCCAAATACAGATTTAAGACGAATCAATAAATAATTAAAAAAAAACTAGTGAAACGAGATTACCAGTTATATGCACAATGTTCAAACTATATGTCAAACTAATCGTCCTTAATTGTTTGGAAGGTTTAATCTTCTCTATATTTCAATAAACATTACGTAACTTACATTTTGTATAATTGATTTATATTTTCTATTGACATCCTATTAATCAGACCCTGTCTGAATGTTTACGTATATCGGTTAGAATAACAGGATTAGTCCATGAATGTCTAGTTACAATTCATCAACAATGTGAAATATATTCGGGTCATATGTATTGCGTACTATTAGTGTCAATCACAGAAGTAATTCAATTATAACAAAGCGGCAAGATTAATCATCACGGACGTAATTTCATTAGATTTCAAACCTTCGCCCTTTGTAATTTTTAAATGCAAGTTAAGTATTCGTTCAATTTGGATTCAATATAGTTCAACATCAGTCCTGCTAGCCAACTTTAAAGGTTAACGTTGTTTTGAGTACGAAATCACCATTCGTCTTGTCTGCAAAAATAAAAATTCCATATTTAAATCGATTAGCAACAAACAAAGCTAGTTAACTAATAGTATTTTCTATAAATGAAGTTGCAAAAAACCCCACCTAAAAAACAATACTTTATGATGCTTTTTTTAACCTGTATTGATAAAAAAAAAAAAATTCAATGATTTCGTGGCAACTTTCTTGCAAATATGAATATGTATTCAGT